ACTGATACTTCTGTATTTGTCATTTCTTTTCAGAAGGCCTGTGAGACAGGATAGTTTTGAGGGGAGGAAGGAGGAAGTGGGCATAAAGATCATATGATTAGACTCCATGGCTTTTGGCTGCATATTTTGGAGGATTAAATGCACTCCACAAACAGAAAACATCCAGCACATATGTGCAGTTATGATAGGAATAAATTCCAAACCACGATGTGAAACGCTTTCAGACAAAATAGGGTAGCGCATTAACTTTGTTTACGCTCCCGTTTTTTCATCAAACATGGGTGTCTAGCATTTTTGCTCATGAGTCGCACACACGTAAACAGATTCTTAATTAAGGGTTGAGTGTGATGCTTGCAAGAGCAATGTGAAACTTGTTCCAGCTCAACTCAACGCTGCTCCTTAACACGGAAAACGAGTTGGCCAGGATTACTATACTGGATTTGTATTCAGTTTGGTTATCCTTTTCGCGAGTAGCGCACTTTTGCATTGTTGAATGCGATCAGCTCGGCCCATCGCTGTGCCTCGCGGAATTCCCAACGCCACACAATTCGGTGCAGCACAGTACTTGCCTTACCTAAGCGGATATATGGTCCATTAGTAGCAAGAATCCTTTGGGGAGTCCAGTTTGATAAGCTAAAAAATTAGTGCGCCCTGTTCTCATAAAATTAAAGCCAAAATAACTCAAGGAAAGTTAGAAGACAAGCAGTGAAAACAGGAATCCAAAGAAAGCGAGATAGCTGTCAAGAACAGTAACGTTGAAGCTAACCCTAAAAAGGGAATTAAGCAGTTATTAACCGCTAGGATCACAGGCACGGAACTCGGTACATAATCGGGGAGATCAGGCAGGAGTTTGATAATGAGCATGCGCTAGCACCTAATACAGTTCAAAATCAGCATATAATGAATCTTGGAGTGCCCCACCTTTCAGATTAGCAGTAAGCAAGTTTTCATCACAGTCTTAGCTGCAAGAAAAAAATTTGAGGTAAGTAAGCGAGATGATAACAAAAATGGTGAGTAAGCGTGCTAAAAAACAGGTTCAAGAACAACTACTGTAGCATTGATCTTAACTCGGCTCAAGTAAAAACGGCTAAATGCTGTAATTGAGCACTTGATTCAACAACTTAGTTAAAATTATTTGGCATTTGTCATAGTAATTTCATTCCAAAACAGTTACTGTTTGAAATGCCTTCACATTAGCATAGCTCTCTGATCTGGAGATCCTCATTTCATACTGCGTTTTTGAGAAATAAATAGACAGCTAAGTGGTTGGACTTTATCCCCCCTTACATCTTCGGTTCTGAATATGAGGTAACCATGGCTGATGCATAGGAATATAATCAGCAATCGTTCGTCAAATTTTGATGGAACCCAAATCTAGAAGGAGAAACATTTCTTGCATCCGGAAAGATCAACTCCATGAGCATTACTGAATAGTATTTAGCTTACTGTTTTCCTTTACGCCTTTGATATAATGCTGATGCAGCAAACAAATGTGCAATCAGTGATTAAAATGGAAATTTTTGCGCAACAGAACTCGCAGAGAATCTGACGTCACCGAGGCGTGGGCAAAAAACAAGCTTCCCATATTGCATTAATCATTGATCACAACTGCATCTGATGAGTTTTGGCTAAAATTAGAAACTTATTTTGGTTGTCAACAGCTAGATATACTCCGTAGGATTGTTAGTCCTATTGAACTCTTGTGACAGTCTAGAAAGCAAGCGGTGCAACTTGCACTTACGGCTGTAATTACATACATTCAAAAACCTGGGGAATTTTTTTCGACATTCTTGGAACGTGAGAAAGGTAAAGTATTGAATACACTAGCATTTACAGGTAGTGATTATGAGACATTCACAGGAATACAATGTGAATAATTCTCGAGCGTTGGTGAAAAATGGATAGTCAATTAGATATCGGAAAGTTCGACTTTTATTAGTCTAGGAGTCTATAATTTTGGGAAGGTAATTTAATAGTAATTTTTTGCAGCTGCAAGTTTCTAACATTATTAGTGGACTAATTGTTAGAAACGTATTTTATCGGATGGTATTGGCGGTACCGTAAAGAGCGCTTCTATCTTTGGTTCTACGGTTGATCCTGAATAGCCGTGGTTCTCTTGCGGGAGATTGACATAAGGTATTCCTCTTCGAACTGATAGAAGCCTAATGTCTTACAATGCGATGTCCAAATCTGACTATCACATTCCAAATCACTGTTTTTCTAGCTTACAAGTGCACAGCTGCACATATTTCTCTTTCGAGTTAATAATGGAACCCTTTGCATATAGCGTTTCTTTCCGATTATACTGACGCAGTACAAAATAATTTCTTTCCCTCCCCAAATATACACAAATCTGTGCATAGGATTCTGTAGGTATTCACAAACACTTAGAAAACACCATAGGCAATGACAACCCGTATAATATGATGTAGAAGGGTCTTCCAGTTGTACGATTGTGAGATTTGACTTTACGGGAATTGGTATAAGTTCTGCGTGATCCAGCTAAAGACGTGAATATTTCGTAAAATCAACAAGGAATAATGTATTTATTATATTATTTTACAAATTGTGTGTCAAATGATGTAGGTGAAGTTTTGGGAGAGATAAGAAATTTTCTGCATACTTCCATATCGAACTTAAATCATCCAAAATGAATGAGGATTGTTAGTGGGATGAAATTCAGCATAATGTGATGGATTCGTCCAATTTCTCGAAATGTTCCACTTCTGAACCTGCAGTTTCTCATTGTTTCGTAGGAAAATTCAAAAGGTATTTAGAAAGGATTACGCTGCGTTTTGCTTCTTTGTGGGAGACAAGTGTTGCAATGGCTTTCGAACAACAGCACCGAAGTTTTTTTTGCAAGAAGTGAACAAAATGGGAATTCTTTTTTGGTTGGAGGAGAGTGATACTGGCCACGCCTTCCAAAAAAAAATTTGGAAACTCCCCAAATTCTCTGAGAGATTGGATACTGAGACGGACTAGAAGCAGCAAATGATATCCAGAGGAGAATTTAAGGGAAGTCTATAAAGTCATTATCTAAAGGAGCTTCTAACGATACGAATGCGTAAAACTAAGTGGAATCTTGACAAAGCCAACTGCAGAACCAAGAGAATTAGTCACATTTTGCATAGCTATAGAAGCTCCCGTCTCTAATGTGGCACAGCTTATTTTTCATGTAAGAAGAAAAAAAACAATTTGAGCTTTATTAGTGAGAATTGCTAGTGACAAGTAAATATAGAGACGAGTAGTGAACCACATGCTCTCTCCCCGCAGATGCTACCGGATATCACATTTCCAGGGAGGCACATCTTTGCATCGCGACTGAGAGCGTTTACTATCAACAAGTGTTTGCTCGGTGGAGAGGCGTCAGATTACATGGAACCAGCGACACTTTAAGAACTTGAACCTTGAGCCAAAGAACTCAATGAGCCTAAATTTATTAGTTCTAACGTAGATTATGAAAGCAGTTTTTACAACTAGGCAAACGTACTTTCATCTGCAGCTACTGATTATATAAAATATGGGAGCTTAACTTTCGCGGAAATACTTTTTATTTTCAGAAGAATTTCAGGCTCAGGAAGTGATTAAATACCTGCAGGCTTAGGCAGTGTCTTTTTTTGATTTTTCGTAACAGGGATAGAATCGGTTATAGAATTCAATCGGAGCTAGACCTTTGAGAGACTTGACTTCTTTGTTGTACGAGTTTGTCTTGCTCTGCCAACTTTAAAAGACACCGCTGACAATGTCAAAGTCGCAAAAGCTTAAAACGTGTACGTTTGTAGCTTTCTAGAGACGCAGATACCGAATTTTTCCCTCCAGGGGTTGCAATCAGCTTACAAAAAAGCTTCATACCCTGGTAATCCAGAAATCTGGATTGCGCATTACCGCCATGAATAATCATGCCTTCCTATATTTTTGCTATGAACATAGTAAACAAAATGATGTTGCCAATATAACCGAGTTCAAAATTTTTCGTATAATTCGCGATGCCCTGGCGGTTGATCGCCATTTCTTTGGAGTTGTTTGATAAGTTTCGAATTTTTGGATTGTATTCTTCACTTCTTGTTTTCAACACGCTGGCAGCAAAATTGTGCCGCCATAAAAGAAAAAGTGTTGAAGTGCACTCAAAAATCATAGGAGAGAAAAAGCAAATTCAAACGCAGAGAAAAATAATTGCAAAATTGGAATGGCGTTCACAAAACTGTCTGAGACAACTGCTGACAATGTGTGCATTTGCAGCATTAATCCTGTTGATGTTAAGCCTTGTCGTGTCTCAAAAATCAGAACGCTTTTAGTTTTTTCATAATCAAAGAGGAAATCTACAGAATTTTTTTGCCACAGTAGTAACGATTTATATCTATCCGATGGAGTAGATTCACAAATGTCTTTGTTGGATTTCCTTACTGTTCACGTATGATAGTGTATGAGATAAACTTCCAGTTGCATGAAAGGATTTCGATAAGCGTGTGAGATGGTCGTTTCACTGTATACATACACCATGGGCATATTTTATTCATATTCTCACAGAATCTGAACGACAAATATGGAATATAGGAATTCACACGTTTCAGTCATTTTCGATAAGGGATATCAGTTACAAAAGCACCTAAAACTACCTTCATTACTTTGCAATGATAGCGATTCGCTCGGTCGAATAAAATAGCCGGGAAATCGTCGTATAGTATTAAAATGTAGCACACTCTAGCTGAGGCAAGTCAATTGAGTACTTTATGAGAATACCCGTTTTGATAATACAGATGTACCCACATAGGCAATGATTAGCAAAAACTTGAAAACTTGGGTCTTTGTATGGAGTTTGTATAGATAGATACATTCGAACATAAAAATGCATGCGAAGGCAAAACTACTCGGACTAAATTTAGATCGATCAACTCGCAAGTATATGTATAGCACTTATGCAAAGGAATGAGCACAACTTACAGTAGAAATGAGGACAATTTCGAGAAAATAAGTTCATTCTATCGCTCTTTTTCAACATATTAAAACTTTATAGTAGTAGGAGCTGATACAGTTGAAATGGTCTGGACGGTTTGACTACGTCCATTCCTCTGAATCGCATTTCCTTGGTTTTCTCCGATAGAATCAGAGCATGTGGATCTTTGGAAGATCCTTGATGATCCAAAGCTGAGAGGGCTATTTATACCAATCAGAACCAGGAATCCGCGCCGAATCTGAAATGGTAGATTGGAGAAGTATTAAACTCAATCACATTTGGGAAAAGCTATGGAGCTAATTCTGCATTTTTCTATTGGCTATATATGACTGTACTGCCTTGGATTACAAAGTTGATTCAATTACACTGTCTACCCAAATGAGGGTGTTGAGATTCTCATACGGTACAATAACGGAGTCCTTCAGTTGAGTGTATGCCTAAGTTCTGCTGCAAAAGATGAGTTTCAAGACGAAAACCTCGTTCTAGAAGGTGGAAGCAATTCGCTCCACACATCATCGTCTGATCCGGAGCTACAAGTCCAAAACTGGGCTAAGTTGAGTTCAGAGTTGTCGAATTCTGATGAACATAATGAAGGGTGGATTTTTGATTGTGGACACAATCAAAAATTTTGGACTTGTCCCTCAAGACCACCCACGATAGTGGGTGGAACCGACCACTGCCGCTTCCATATTCTGGAGCAATCTTCTCGCGTATGATCCATCTTTTGCAGCAGAAGTTGGGCTTATTGATTAGCCCTGACTTATTTGGGGGCTCCGCTATTGTACCGCATCAAATCTTACTACATCTCGACTAGGGTGGACCGTGCCAAGCAGTGTCCAGGCAAATCTGGGCACATGGGTTTTTTGACTGGATACTGATGAGCAGGTTCTAGCTAAGGCACTGCCCAGACCGCAGCGCAAATGATTGGCACGGCTGAGAAATTCATCTTCAAAACACACCGCGCACGCGTGACCTTAAAGGCAGCGTCCCACCAGATTGATGGATACCTGGCTCTGGTGGTAATGTGATAGTAGACCCCCCTAACTGAGCGACAGCAGAAGTTTGCAGCGCGAAAGAGGTCTGCAAAGTCTACAAATCGCCCCTAAAGCGGCCCGGATTTTGCGGTAGGCTCAGGCGAGTGCGAGATGCATGCAAAGTAGAGTCGCAGAGTCGTTGCGGGACCCTGCCCTCACGATTGTGTGTGCTACGCGTTCTGCCCTTACAGTATGAAATTGCTGTGTGAGCGGCGTTTGGGCCTATCGTAAGATTCGGGCCACTTGGGGGGCGATTTGTAGACTCCGTAGACTCCCTTTCGCGCTGCAGTCTGTCGTCGCTTAGTTAGGAGGTCTATTATTACATTAATACCAGAGCCAGGTACCCCTCCCTCCCCCCCCCCCCCAATCTGGTGGGACGCTGCCTTTAACGCTCAGGATGGGTCCGGCGCGAATGTAGTGTTAAAGTGAGTGAAGTCATCTACGGCTTACGGTCACAGCGCAGGCGCGGATGGTTTGGGGACGAATTTCTCGCCCGCGAGTAACTCATTTGCACTGCCGCTTGGGCAGTGCCTTGTTAGGACCCCCTCATCAGTTTCCAGGCGAAAACCCATGCGCCCAGGTTTGCATGGCACTGCCTTCAAAGCTTGAATGGTTGATGGTGAAGAAATCTGATTTATTATGTAGTTTTTCTTCGTTGGTAAAGCTTGACGCTGCTCTTTTAGCTCAGCTTATACAGAAGTCTAAGAAAGGAAGAAAATTGAAATTTAGAACTAGAAAATTATGGAAGTTCTCTAAACGGTGAGAAGCTAGGCGTAAATGCTCCCTGTCGATACTTTTTTCGAGGGTCTACAAGTGTACAGTTTGTTCAATAAGCCTGTCTTTTAATCTTAATCCTCCACCCTTCAAGGATTGTGTGTATTAGCCTAGTAGCTCCTGATTTTATGGGACATATGGGACAAAAGTTGCGAAGGAAAGCAACTTCGACCTACTAAACCAAACAAAAATTCTCACCTGGAAATCAGTGAGGAATGATAAGATTGGATCGACTATGATACGCAGCAGTAGACCAAACCGCACAATACCCAACAATCTCATCATTTCTGGGTAATTGCGTTGGAAATAGCACTGGTCAGTGTTGAGTAACAGACCGATGCACCTGGAAGAAACACAAAATTTTCCTTCTAGCAATGTCACTTGCCACTCATCCTTACCAAATGACATATAACAGATAGAGGATAGCGAATGTAGCAACATTCAAAGCGAGTTTCCAGAGTGGAAATCTCACTCGACGTCCTCCTTCGGAATTGTTTGAATCCCTGTTTTTGAATGAGTCGACGAACCTCTGCGCTCGTCTAATCAACAACACTAAAAAGCGAGCAGAATTATATGCCATACATAAGATATGAAGCTGAATGTCTGTAACCAGAACCCTTATATTGCCAAATGAATGTGCTACGTTCAGATAGACAAGATTTGTATGAAAAAAAAATTACTTATGTGCCAACCTAATAGTGTCTAGAATTACCAATAACCTTTATCGACTTTGTCGATTTTTTGCAGAATTCGAGCTAAGGAGCTGGGAGTTAGCACAAGGGGGGGGGGGGGGGGTAAGTGGACATGCTGATTGCGGATATAATATTAGTTTCTAGAATTATCGATAACCTTTAACAATTTTATCAAATTTTTGCAAAGTTTGAGTTACGGGCTAGGAGTTGGCACACGGGGTTGAGTGAACATGCCGATTTTGAAAACAAAGCGGGGATAGGAAATTCATGTAATGTGTGCACAGGGGAAGGTTGAACAGGGAATGGACCTTTAGCATAGTGTTTTGACGGAGACGGGCGAAGCTGGGTAAGCCAGTTAGTAATTGATAAAAAAACTCACCAGTTATGACGAAGACTATTATGGTGAAGAAATACACTCCAATTGTGACAAGATTTCGAGATCTGAACAAACAACTTCGTTTTTAATTTCACTATTGTAGCTTTCTCAATGGACGTACCTGTACATAGCTCTGATACAGCTCTCCATTTTACATCCGGACCATTCATTCAGTGCCGGAATTTTGACCAAAGCAGAAACGCCGAGGGTGTAACTGATCATGAGAATGAACACCACCCAACTGCAAAAGAAGGGGTTGGAACGGGTGAATAAATCATTTTGATATTTTCTAATAAATAGTTATAAAATGACAAATTGGCGAGATTCAATAAGCTTACCTCAAAATTATGACGTTGATGCATCGTTTCATTGTAAACCATTTTCGATAGTGAAAAGGTCTCCATACCGCAAACAGCTAAAGGCAAAAATAGAGTATACAAAACTAGGCAGAGAATAGCTTCATAATTTTTCTCCTTCATTTGAGGACTTCTGACTATCGATGACCGTCGACAATAAAAAATTTCAATACCGTTCTTTCGCAAAAACTTTAGCGCTTTGTTCTCGCAGTGATCTTAAATCAAATGTAGACAAACCTTTAGTACGGAAAGAGCTACATAGGAGACCATAGCAGACCAAAAGGATCCGATAAAGAATGTCTCCATAAGAATGACCATGTCGCGGCTGAAAATCATCTCGTCCCTTTTTTCACTTCATGTTCAAAAAATAGTTATTCAAAAGGTACTTTTTACATCTACGATTGAGATCTACGGAAAAAAAATTATCCCACTTTATTTCTTGCCATAGTAGTACATATGCACAAACGACCAGAGCTACTAGACAGCTGAAAAGATCTCCAATCGCTCGATTGAGTAGCAGTATGTAGCACTTTCGGCTGACGCGACGAGCTTTTATGGCCTAAAAAATGTACGATCTCGCACCTCTTGTGCTTGAACGCTGATCAAAATAACAAGATCCGCACCTGGTATACTGTTATGATGAAAAGCGTGACAAGTATGGCTCCAATAAGAGCGAGTGGTAGGACAAACCATCCAAAATATTTCCGAAACACATTGTCGATGCGAAGACCTTGTCGGCGCTAAAAATATGTTTTTCATGTTCGGTGTTGGTTACCACCAAATTTTTCACAGTCAGGCTGCAAATCAGCAAAACAGGCCTTTCTTTGTTTAGACGTACAATGTATACAAGCTATTTTTGCTTAGTTGACTACTAAGAAACAGAAGGTTACATTAACCGCCTTCTGTTCAACTGCGGCTTTGTTATAAATTCCAGTTCTCGCTTTAACATGACTGATGATATGACAGTATTCTAACAGTTCTTGTCTCTACTCTCAAAAAATTGACAAGAAGTGTTCAAGCCTAAATTATTTACTTGTAAAAACGTTTGTGGAAGTTGTAGGCCAAGATATGAACAGGTCCGTCCTGAAATAAACAGAACAGCGCGTTCACTGATTGTAAGCACAGTTAGTGGCTGCGAAATTTTGTTAACATCAATGTAACGTTTTTACCGTAGATAAATAAAATTGTGGTAATTGTTGGGATTATTGAAGAATTGAGCAAAAATATTATAATTCCACATTCAGTGGCACACGTGCCGTGAGCTTGGCTAGTCCATACGTCGCTTTCCCACTAAACAATAAATTTCATACAAGCTTATTTCTATACTAAATTTAATTTTTCACATCGAGAAGTCCTGTGGCCGTATTCGTCAACGAACCCAGTGGGTTCCAGAACCCACTGGGTAGGCCGAACCCACAAAACCGGTATTCACGAAACTAGTGGATTCCGGGACCCAGTGGGTGAAGCCTACCCGGTGAGTTCCGGAACCCACAAAAAGCCACTTAAGAGGTATTCCAACGAACCCAGTAGGTTCGCGAACCCAATGGGTTCCGGAACCCACTGGGTTCGTTGATGAATACGGCCACTGACTTTGCGTGCCGTGCGTGATTCCTCAGCCATCTATGAATTTTTGCACAATATTAGGTGCTTTTAAGACTTTAAAACCATACCACCATTAAGAATAATGTGTCAGTGCTCTCGAATTCGAAAACTACGATTTATTGTTCTGCGCCCCGTATCTATTACACCTTATCCCTTTGAAAACGTTTGCAGTTTCATTAGTTTTTGATTAAGCAGATTTGACGTGTATTGTTCATCGTGCGAAGGCTAATAACGGGAGCGAATCAATACGATTTTTTGTAACAGCACATGTTGAAGCCTTATTTTGTTGGATGCAAGTAGTAGAATCAAAGCAGCTGCGGCATAGGACATACGTCAGGTTGGTCTGAAAGTTCGCAACGTTTTTGAACCTATCCTCAATACTTCAATAATGTAGACAAACTAGCTGGCTTACCCGGCTCGCCGTATGTTCCGAATAGAAAATTCCATTTCTTAACCGATCCGGACCAAACTTGGCACACATACACTTCGGGCCCCGGCGGGTGTCATAGGCTACTTTTCGTTATCGATCGATGTCGATTTTATCGATTTTTTACAAAATTTGAGCTACGGGGCTGGAAATTGGCACAGGGGGAATAATCGAGCATGCTGATCACCCCCACGGGAGTGATCAGCATGCTCGATTATTCCCCCTGTGCCAATTCCCAGCCCCGTAGCTCAAATTTTGCAAAAAATCGATAAAATCGACATCGATCGATAACGAAAAGTAGCCTATGACACCCGCCGGGGCCCGAAGTGTATGTGTGCCAAGTTTGGTCCCGATCGGTTCAGAAATGGAATTTTCTATTCGGAACATACGTACATACAGAGATACATAGAGACATACATACAGACATACAAACAGACATTCAGCTTTATATATAAGATGCTTTGACAGTTCTCGATGCCAAATATTTCCTTTTTCTAGCAGTTAGTTTATGTCTGTCGATACTTTCATAATCTTTACATGCGTCACAATCTCCAATCCATAGTTACTTGCCCTAATTTTGGCTGTTATCATAAGTATCATTTAAGAATTCAACAAGCTTTGATAACTGTTTGATAGAGTAAACAAAATGCATTACAGCGCATTTAACATCTTTTTCTGGCAAATTTTACAATAATATTTTTTGATGTTACCAGGTCCATATTTGAGCATCCCGAACCTTATAGAAGATCAAACGAGGAGCAGCCAGAGTGCAATGCGATGCAGGTAAAGGTTTCAAGAATAGAATCATTGAGATTCACATGCTCAAGCTGTAATAAAAATTCAGTGATAAACGAAGAATGATTTCAAAAATTAGTGTTCACTGAAATTGATTTTGGAACTTCCACATTCCGAAGATTAGTTAGCGTCTGAAGCGTTTATGTAATTCATGACTTTGCAATGGTAAAGGCATTCGGAAAGTGGCCTTCTCAAATGAGTCCTACACCGCTTTGAAAAGCATGAGACGCTAATTCTGAATCTGTTTTCGCAGCCTTGGATGCCGACTTATGAGTGTTTTTCAAAGCAAAATAAACGGAAGATTTAGTCAAAATCAACCGTTACGGTATTTTCAGCGCTCAATTAGAGCAGTATTGAGGATGAGTGTACGGTGTAGACAAAAAATTACCTCCTAAAGGAAGCGCTCTGATAACTAACACTGGACCTTTTGAGCAATTCTGAACGATTTTGTTCAAATGCGTATTCAGTTTTTAGCTCCAGAAACGCTCATAACTCGACGTCCAGAAGCGGCTGGCAAGTGATGAACACAGATTTGGAACCAATTTTCGTTGCTCTTCAAAGTGGTATACGACATAAAAAAGCCACTTCGACCAAACGGACTTCCCTCTTAAAGGCAGTGTCCGAACAAAAACTCGATTTTGAGATTTTGTGCTTATACGGGCCTATTCGCCATGCTGAATCCGAAAATCCACATTGGAAAGCGCGAAAACGGCGAAAAAGAGCTCTAATATAGGAGGGAAATCAGCAGGTGCGTGGGGCTTTCCCCAATGCGATTTCACGCTCCCAGCTCCCGGAGCGATTTTCTTGATTCCGCTAACCGTTCTAACATCGCTACCGGCCAACTGCGAATGATTGACTTGAAACCGGAAGCGAGAAGATCACTCCGGAAGCCAGGAACGTGAATTCGCAGTGGGAGGACCCCGCCCACCTGCTCATTTCCCTCCTGTGTTACTGCCGTTTTTCCCCATTTTCGCGCTCTACAACGTGCATTTTTGGATTCAGCGTAGCGAATAGGCCCAAGAAAGCACAAAATCTCACAATTGAGTTCTTGCCCGGACACTGCCTTTAAGCACGGAACTAACATGAGAGCAGTCGTTTTATAGAATCTCGTTGCTTGAGAATATTCGGAACTACCGAAATTTTGTAGAGCGATTTGGACAATCTTACATTTACAACGGACATAATTAGAACCGCAAAAAATGCTCTTTTCAGATGCTTGCCTGAATGACGGCTTGCACTTGCTCCATGTCGAAATCAACGCCATCTAAGTCATCATACTCATACGAGTTCTCGTAGTCATATGACCCAATTGCTCGGAATTCCTGAGAACGTCGTCGTTAGTTTCGTTAGTTTTGGACGGTGACCTCGTATGCATTTGTCGCAGATTGTGAGCATCTCTTAACTCTAGACTATCACATAAATTGTAGCTAGCGATGTGCCCCGCTGGTAGTCGTTGTCATAAATGCTGGTCCACGTGAGCTTGTTAGTAAATTTACGTGATTAGTAGGATAAAAGAATTCGTTATTCTCATGCCAATCTTGTTCATTATATGCACCAGCGATCAGCCAATACTATCAATGAACTAGGATTTTCATGCGCACAAAAAATTTCAGTAATTCGGAACCTCTATACTATGCTTCTCAATATATATGCAGTGTTTGATTGTTATTACTTCTATTGCTCTAGGTTTTTCGCTGATCTTTCGGTAGCATTCGTAGACCTAATTCAAAACGAGTTACTCGGTGAATTACCTATCGCTCTACACTACTATAAATCACGGTAGAACCTTCCAGCATGCAGCGCTTTTAACTAGCTGCCATTTCGAAAAGGAAATACTTGAAAAGTTGTGCAGCAGGGTCTTTACGCACGTTGATTACATTATCCAAGTTTGCTAATCGCGGAGCAGTCAGGAGGCATTTGCTACTTCCATCACTCATGATCAAAGCCTTACAGTAAGGTGGAAATCTTATTTGTAGGCAGCGGTTTCGACAAGCCTAATATTAGTCTTTTAGAATATTTGCTTTTTTCTGGGGTATTGGCCCCAGTGGCTTAAAACCTCTTCAAATTTCCAGCCTGATTTGCATTGATGAATGATAATAGGTGACTGGCTTCATGCTGTGAATCTAACTAGGAGAGGACTCAAAGTCGGAATCGGTTTTCCACATAATATATATGTATATCAATCTGAAGAGCATCAAACACTGTTTCCAAACTTCTAGACGATGAGTTATGAGTGTTATTTGGAGTAAAAAATAATAGCAAGGCCTAGGTAAAATCAATAGTTATGGTCAAACTAGAGCTCAAATAAAGAAGCGTCAAATACGAGAATACTAAACAGAAGGTTTCTCATGCTTAAAGTACTCTGATATCAACGCTGATTACGCAATCTTGGAGAACTTTGTTCAAATTGCCCGGACACTGCCTTTAAATTTTTTGAGTCAACAAACGCTCAGAACTCAGCGTCTAGAGCGTTTAGCATATAGCAAAAACCGTTTAGGAGTCGGCGTTTGCTGGTGTTCAGATTCGGATAAATTTCATGTGGAAAGCCGATTTTGACTTTGAGTACTCTCCTTGTAAGTTAGAGCCTGCTCTACAGAGTGCACGTACAGATCGACGAAAAATAACGGAGCAAGGGAAATATCAATGAACAAACAGTGCAATGCTTTATAAACCTGTATACACCCATAAACTGAGAATTTCAATTTGAAGATACTATCGCGAGAGCATTAACTAACTCTCACGAAAAATTTTGTTTACGCCAGCTTCGACTTGAGAAACATTAGTAGACCGCCCAGAATTTTTTTTTGAAAAGGTATTGAGCGCAAGTGCATACAGGTAAACAAGGTTTGTTGTAAGGACAATACAACGTATGCAGTTATAAAACTTTGGAATATAGGGGTGGTAACATAGCTTTAGAAGCATGAAAAGTCGGTAATCCCGGTAAAAGCTACAAGGTCATCATCGCTCATAAATACTCTTGAAAGGCAAGTGCTTATGAGAAGTAAGATTACTTTTTCCCTCTTGTTTTGTTGAATAAGAATTCAGCGTGGGGTTGACCTAAGTTTGTGTCAACTGCTTATCTTACATAGAATAGCTTTTCGAAATTAGGAGCAATCGCTGGCGATATGCTGCAAGATTTACTATTATTAGCTTCTCAAAACCTAATTGACGAGATGAACCTCGAATTACTTGATGTAGGCGAGATAGAAATGCAAATGGAATGGTATGCCTAAATAAAAAGGAGGTTACCTTGAAGAGGTCAACACGTTGCTCCGTGGTGAGATTATAGAAGCAGTCCGTACGGAAGTTGGAGCTCATTGCACGTTGCCAACGTCGTAGTACTGGCTCAATGCGGCACTCGCTTTTTCTGAAGTAGTACCGTAGTTTCGTAAACATTCAATTCCGAAAGATAACACGCAGCTACGAAGTAACAAATGAGAGTCAGCACACAGTATTCGAGAAGAAATGAATTGCGATTTTGCAGAAGAAGAATATTATAGGAAAAAGCGTCTAAAAAGAGGAAGACAGTTAAGCTTTGACCCTGTAAATAAGAGAAGGCTAACTTCCGAGGTTGAGGTTTGTTAGCTGCAAATGCGCAGTGAATTGGGGATTCCATTGACTCGGAGAGAATAATCGAATATAAACAGTGGGTAAAACACATTTTATACGAGAGTGAACGTTCCGAGAGGGCAAGAGCTAAATGGTAATTGAAAAGCGACTTTTTATAGTGAAACATAGTCGTAAAAAAGGTAATGTGCTAGATAGGTAGAGATAACCCATAATCATAGTTAACCTTGGTATAATGCCTGGGCAGCTCACTTTCAAAGTCATTTCATGCTCCGAGAATTTCGAAATGAAACTTGTTGAAAATTTCAGAATTCACATCCAAGTTACAGATAGACTTCTTTGTAGGTAGAGAGATCTTTGAACATAAGCTTCGAAATGGAAACACTTGTTCTGAGAAGTTTTTAGACAATATGCAGTGTCTGAATCTACTATTCTAGAATATGAAAAAACAAGAAATCTCTCCGCTAAGGCATCTTTATACTCTTATAAGCACATACCTACCTCCATTTTTCTATCGTGTAGCCCTTTTGTAGGCTATTTCGCATGCTAATCTAATATTGCTATGATATTGATGGATCGCACTGAAGCAAACTGAGCAAATGAATCACTGTTTTCTTTTAGCTTACGAATATATAGTATGCCAAATATGCACCATCAATGATGCCAAATCGATCATTATACGAAGCATGTGCTTTGCGGACGTCTTTAAATCTTATCGATCACTACAATTTAAGAATTACATACATTAAATCGTCAAACGACTGTTATAATTTTGTCAAATGCTATCCCTCAATTAGAAGCGCCATTTGTACAATTCAGTTTGAATTAAGTATAACAGCCCCAGAATTTCACAAGCGCAGGTCATAACACCGCGTTTGCCATGTAAATAAAGCTTGTATATGAGGGGTAAAATTTACTTGTTTCAATGGCTTTACATCCACAAGTACAATTCTGCAGGCCTGGCCCTAACTTAGATTTGCGGCATGGGTTGAATTCAAAATTTGCTCTTCGTTACTGCAGGATACCGTAGAAGCTTTGGAGAGGTTTTGAGCCACTAGGCTATTTTGTTTGGAAAAGGAACCAAACAGCAAAAAAATCTCAACTAGGCCCATCACACTCGTTGACTCTGAATGTAAAATTTGCACTTTGCCGCAATGCTTCGTTTACAAGTTATGCGAATTCCACGGTCACTTCGTATCCGTAATTGAAAAGATGATTACCAATTGATATTTGGTAGCAAAGCTTCAACTGAACTGATACAAAAAATTTCGATTAAACAAAAGCTGAACAAATTGTTTTGAAGTTTCGAAACGAATTCATATCCTCGCCAAAATAGCAACTGGGGTTTCTACCAGCTGATTCGTAATGTGTAAAGCTTTGAAGGCAGTAGCCAGACAAGGTTGGGGGATGTGTTTAGTTTAATGAAAATGGATGCCTTGGGCACGCTTAACACAAACGCGAAGTTATAACTTATGTTAGACCAAAAGCGGAGAAGATTAGGAAGCTTAGGAAGATTAGGAGAACTTACGCCCAAGAAAGAAAGCTTGGCCCATCTGCGAAACCTGCATGCTAGGTGCTCATTCCGCTACGATCAAGATGGGTCCTAGAGCGACCCTACGTCTTAGCATTGGTTGGAACTCTATTTATTCAAATCAGTCGAATAGCTTTAGAAAACGACTGTCCTCGCCGTTTTCGTCCTTGCTAAGTGGGATTGAATACAGCGTAGCGGATAAGTCCAAGTAAACGAAGATGCTATGAGTTTTTCTCAGGGCACTGCTTTTGAAGAAACATGCTCTTTGAGATGTCAAATTATGAAATCAGCTCACAGACAAAGAGGTAATATCTATGTTTCTTACTATTGTAAGTATATAGTTTCTGTCGAGAGATACACTGTATAAGGTGAGGAGCTTCGCTATGTCGTTTATAACTAGCCGCATATGCCTTGTATGCACAGCAGCTAAGTGCCAAGTATGTTCTGTGGTGAGAAAGTTGCCTTGCCCATGGTACCTTCACTTTCACTTAGATGTAAAGATCTAGATAAACATCCGAGATTTTCGTAACACTGAAGAAAATACCCATTGGCATATTTTATTCATACATATACCCTTTGATTCATCGGGAGTGGCGGTTGGAAGACGACCGCTCGCACCCTAGATGCCGCCTGCGTCTCTCTCGCGAGGATGCTTTTTAATTATTCTCTAGCCTCGATTAGGTTTTGAAGCCCCGCCTTTTACCCGCCATTCCCCATGAATTGAAAAGAACACAGGTTCTGCATGACAAGTATGGAATACATAATTTTACACGTTTCAGTCACTTTCACTACCAGAAAGCACCTAAAACTAGACTCTTTTGCTGTGATAGAGATTCGCGCGGTCAACAAAATAGCTGGAAATCGTATAATAATGAAATGTAGCACACTCTAGCTGAGGCAAGCAACTGAGTACTTGAAAATACCCGTTATGATACAAATATACCCACAAGGCAATGACAAATTGGATAGTATCGAAGTTTTGTGTAGTTTGTGTAGTAGTTTGCATAGACTTAAAAACGCACATGGAGACAAAACTACTCAGTCTATGGCCCGTAGTAAAACCCCATTAATCTCAGTTGACCTAAGATTAATTCAGAGAAGTTTTCTGGGGTAAACTGAGAGACCGCCCGCTTTCTCGTGCTTTAGAATATTTACTTGAACAGCCAGAAGACCGTCCGCCCAAGTGCCAGGGTCAGTTCAGCATAATTGTCGAGGGTAGATCTTAGGATGAACCGAGGGAGTAGTGTGCAAAAGAGGAGGATCGGACAGATCCCGTAAGTTTCTCGTGAGTAGCTTACGGGACAATTTAGTCGATGCATTCTTGCAGTGCAAAACTGGCAGTACTGCGCGATTTCGGAGCCCATATAGGCGAGAATCGATGAGCAGCTGATTAGACGACGAAAAAAGGGAGACAGGTTTTCTTTGCAAACTTGCTTAGATTTTTTGAAAGATGCAAAAAATAAGAATTCGTTTATTTCTCCGTTTTGGTCCCCCCTGCATGATATTTTGTCAAACAACGTAATTTTCTTTTATCCATTTATTTGCTACGTCATATGCTTGATAGCGGTCACCATCGATTCGGATAGTGGCAGTTATCGAAGGTTGCCCGGCGATGGCGCAAAAATCTGCCACTAGCTGGCCTCGAACCATTGCCTTCGCTTCGAATCCCATTCACTTAGCCGTTCGATCAAACCTGCCCGATTAATTACGTATTGAGAACACCCAAGACTTTTATGTCGAAAGCTATCTGTCTAAATAGTAGCTCACTGGATGCCGGACTGAGGCGTCCTACGTTCAAGGTACGCCTGCCCCCAGCCGAGTTGCGTTGAAAGGGGGGGGGATACTACGGGCCTTATCTAACAGTTACGCAAAAAATAAGCACAGCTTACGGTACAAATGAGGATGCTAAAATTTAGAGATACATAAGTGCATTCTATCGCCCTTTTTCAACTTTTCAAAATTTTATGGTTGTAGGAGCTGATGTGCTTAAATTGGTTTCAACGGTCTGACTACGTCCATTCCTCTCAACCGAGTTTCTCGGGTTTTCGCCGATAGAATCGGAGCATGTGGATCTATGGAAGATTCTTGATGATCCAAAGCTGAGCGGGTTGTTTACACCAATTAGAAACAGGAATCCGCGACGAATCTAAAATTGTGGATTAAAGAAGTATCAAACTCTCTCAACTTTGATAAGAGGCAAACACAACGAGGAGTCAGATTCTGCCCTTTTCTATATTACATATGATTGATTTGCTTTGAACTGCAAGGTTGATCTAAAGTAACCGTCCTCATAAAGTATGATGAGATTCTGATACGGTACAGAGCGGTGTCCTTTGGCTAAGTGAATGCCCAAGCCCCGCTGCGAAAAATTAAATAATTCCAGAGTGACAGAATCGTTCCAGAAGGTAGAAGCGAGAGTGGTCGTTCTGCCAATCAAAAACAAAATTGGGCTTAGATTTGTCCAGCACTGTCGAAAGCCCGATAAACAGGTAAACAGGTAAATATAATCGCAGGTTTTTATCAATTTGGACACATCTAAAGCAACTTTGGACTTGCATCTTTGGACTTACCCACTTTAATGGGCGAAACAGGCCACGCTGCTCTATATTCTGAAGCAAGTTTCTCGCTTCTGACTTCATGTTTTGCAGCGACTTTGGCCAACTTAGTAGGCTGCGCTATTGTACAGCATCAAAATCTCAGCATCTCGATCGCAATATACGGCTTCAAACCCTAGGTGGTTCAAGGTGAACAAACTTGATCACTGGTACGGTTTTCGTTAATAAAAGTTTTGAGACGTTGAACTTGAAATTCTTAGATCAGAAAATCCGGGAAATGCTTTTAGCGGTTAATGCTAAGTGATGTACATGCTTCTTGTCAATATTTGTTTTTTCGAAGCTCTAAATATGTACAGCTTGTTCAGTCGACAAGTGCTATCCTTCAATCTTACACCTTTCCTCTGAGAAAATTGCATGTTGACCTAGGGATTTTCTGTTTTGGCTTAAAAACTGCGAAGGAATGCAGCTTTGACTGTGTAAACCAACACAGCGAATCTCACCTGGAAATCTGTCAAGAATGAAAGGATAGGGTCGACTATGATACGTAGCAGAAGACCAAATCGCACGATACCCAACAATCTCGTCATCTCCGGATAGTTGCGTTGGAAATAGCACTGGTCGGTGTTTATCAACTGGCCGATGCTCCTGTGAAGGACAAATGATTTGCTTTTGAGAAAACACTCGTATCAGTGGTCCTTACCAAATGACGTATAACAGATAGAGGATAGCGAATGTAGCAACATTCAGGGCGAGTTTCCAAAGCGGAAATCGCACTCGACGTCCTCCTTCGGAGTTGTTTGAATCCCTGTTGAATGAGTCAACATACCTCTGCGCTCGTTGAATCAACAAGACTGAAAAACGAGTAGAATGATGTATCACCTTGTTTTAATAAAATTTTCTCACCAGTTATGACAAAGACTATTATGGTAAAGAAGTACACCCCCACTGTGACAAGATTTCGAGATCTGAACCATCTCTGTTAAAATCCCCTACTTTAACATTTAGTTGGAATGTACCTGTACATAGTTCTGAGACAGCTCTCCATTCTACATCCGGACCATTCATTCAATGCCGGAATCTTAACCAAAGCAGCAGCGCCGAGTGCGTAACTGACCATAAGGATAAAGACCACCCAGCTGCAAAGTAAGGAAGATGTCAATAAACAGTTTCTATTATTTTTTGTCATAGTTGGACTTTTCAAATTAGCAACCTTCAACGTGCTTACCTTAGAATTATAACGTTGATGCATCGTTTCATTGTGAACCACTTGCGATAATGAAAAGGTCTCCATACGGCGAATAGCTTGAAAAAAATTTTTTTACGCGGAGATAAACTTCATATTAATTGAACTAGAAAGCAACATTTATTTTGATGGGTACGGATACAAAGTTTCAGACATCTCCTGTTTAAATTCTAGGATGCTTATTCTCGCAGTGGATATGGTTTTGACGGAAAGCAAACCTTTAGTAGAGAAAGGGCTACGTAGGAAACCATGGCAGACCAGAAAGATCCTGTAAAGAATGTTTCCATAAGGGGTACCACATCGCGGCTGAAAACATCATTTTCACACCTTTTAGATGCTAATAGATGATTCAACTCACTTTATCTTTTGCGATAATAATACATATGCGCAGACGATTAAAGCTACTAAACAGCTAAGAAGGTCTCCAATCGCTCGATTGAGTAACAGTATGTAGCATTTTCGGCTGACGCGGCGAGCTTTTATAGCCTAGAGAAGTTTATTTAGTTGTTCTTATACTTATAAAGCTAACGAAAATAAGAAAAACCGCACCTGATACACCGTTATGATGAATAGTGTAACGAGTATGGCTCCGATGAGTGCAAGTGGTAGAACAAACCAGCCAAAGTATTTCCGATACACAGTGTCGGTGCGAAGACTTTGTCGGCGCTACAATTATGGTTTTTACATTGATGTTAGTTAACACTAACATTTTCAAACTTGATATCCTAGGCGCTTTTCACGCTTCTCGAATCTTCAGAAAGATATTTGCGGTGTCGAAAATGCTGGCGATTGCGCCACGATACGTGCGAATTTGATAAGAATTTATGAAAAATACGTCTTCTTTAAGTTTATTTCCATGTGCATGTGTAAGGATGATAGCACAACAACTTTTCCTTTACGGTTCAAACGCACAAACTATTCTCTACATAACTGATAAGTAACGAACACGCATGCTTACATCACATAACAGCTCAAGCGCCGCCTTCTGTTCAACCATGCCACTTTTCTTATTATTTGGATCAGTTCTCGTTTCAGCATGAATGATATATATGGCAATAAATTCCGACAACACCTGTTCTTTTCCCTTAGTAATTGACGAGGGGGAATCAAGTATAAATTGTCTACGTAAAAACGCTGATACTTGTAACCAAAGCAAAGTCAAGGAGCCTATAATGAACAGCGTTTGTGAAATAGTGCATAGCATCCAAAATTGAACGGAACAGCGCATCATACAGTGCTGGACATAATTATAAACTCTCTTGGTACAAAAGTTTTGTCAGTTTCAATCCATTGGCAAGCACGCTAGAATGAAGATAAACAAACATTTAAAGAAGTATCCGATGCAGAATTTCTTCCTCTTTCCAGCTGCTAAACTCGCGTAGTGTTTCGTTGAGAAAATGACGAGATGTTCGCAGGAAATTACAACCACTCGTTTATACCATGTGCAACTTTTACTAATTTTCAAAATTTTTATATAAGATTGTCGGAGGAGCCCTAATAACCACCAGATAGGGCAAACCTTTTGCCAACAGAAGCGATTTTTCTTTTTTTAGCTGCTTCTTCAGGATTTTGCTAAGTAATTTTCTGAAAGTCTTGTGTTTTGGAAAAATCGCATAACCTTTTATTGTACCAAACATTGCAAAACCTACATAATACTGAGGTTTCAACACACGATTATTACTACCGCTACCATTACAAAGTAAATGAGCGATTTTCGCTTCAAATTATGAAGATTTTGAAACATAGGTTACGCCAGCACACTTATGAAATTGAGAAATACTGCGATTTTTCCCATAAATTTCGTAGAAATTCTAAAAGACAAGGCGTAGGGCTACAAAAAATTGCTTCTGTTGGCAAAAGGTTTGCCTTGTCTGGTGGTTATTAGAACCCTTCCGAAAGTCTCATCCAAAAATTTGAAAATTAGTGAAAGTTGGACATGGTAAAAACAAGTTGTTGTAATTGCCGGCAAATATCTCGTCAATCTCTGTTTAGCAGCTGGAAAGAGAAAGAAATTCTGCATTGGATACTTTTTGAAGCGTTTGTTTAGCTTCATTCTAGCGTGTTTGCCAATGGATTGGAAAAACTGACAAAACTTTTGCACCAAGAGTGGCTTCATAATTATGTCCAGCACTGTATCACTGTCTTGGGCAAAAAATCTTGATTACTTTACTTCAGCGCAAGCTTTTTCGATAGTATAACTGAGTAAAATAGTAATAACTAGCTTGCTTACCCGGCTCCGCTCGGCCCTGTCAAAACACAGTAATAAAGTTTTTATCCCTATCCCTGTATAGTTTTTCCCTGTGCTCACTTCTACACTTCATTTCCCGTTCCCTGTGTTGCTTTCTCAGCACACCCACTTACCTCTGTGCCAACCCCCAGCCCTGTAGCTCAAACCTTGCAAAAAATCGATAAAATTGATAAAAGTAATTGATAATTCTGAAAACTAATATTATATTCGAAACGCCAAGCCCACTTATTCCCCTGTACCAACTCCCAACCCTGTAGCTCAAACTTTGCAAAAAATCGATAAAATCGATAAAAGTAATCGATAATTCTGGAAACTAATATTGTATTCGAAGCGCCATGCCCACTTACACCCCTGTGCCAACTCCCAGCCCTGTAGCTCAAACTTTGCAAAAAAATCGATAAAAATCGATAAAATCGATACCGATCGATAACAGAGTAGCCTATGACACGCTTCCTGCCCCGAAGTGTATGTATGCCAAGTTTGGTCCAAATCGGTTTAATAGAAATACAAATTTCTATTCCGCACATACGTACAGACATACATAAAGACATACAAACTCACATTCAGCTTTATATATAAGCTTTTGAAGGAAGTTAAGCAGTGTTACAGAAATAAGCATTACGATTATGATACCCATTAATGGCATACAAGCTGAGAGCTCGGCTAATCCATATGTTTCAATCTTCCCAATAAAACAAAAAATTACCATACAAGCACACTTCAGTTACATGGAAATCTTCTGGCTTTCCTTACTTTCGTAGGTAGTTCACCGATTTTAAGTCAAGCAATTGTCTTGAAAACCCAGCCTTTTATTTTCGCACAATATAGGAGTACTGTTTCCAAGACTGTTTTTGAGACTTTAGAAACTACACCACCATTGAGAATGCCGTGTGCTCGTGGCGTTGATATCTAAAAATTACGAATTTATCGCTGAACGAAATTTGCAATCTTTATACCAATGCCAAAAAGGTGGTAACCGTACCGTGTCAATGATGTTCGAAACTGAGAAAAAAGATCTTTATCAACGTTTCAAAAGAAGCACATTGACGTTTATCTAGTTATCATGCGAAGGCTATTGAGTAGTGCAAATCAATACTATATATTTTCGTAAATGAGTATTGAAGTTATGCATGTGAATTGCTTAACTTGCAAATGATTGAAATATCTTAAAATTTTTACTTTAAGTTAGCTTTGTAAAAGTATTTGAAGGCGTGGCTGTTGCCTCGCCATTTTCCTAAAATTTTCGGGGTTATGGCCCACGAAAACTGATTGAATGCATGGGTCAATGCCACGCACTTTCATTCCAAAAAAATTTCTATCGCGCTCTTCCCCACCCCCTACTGATGGAAATTCTGAGACCTCCACTCCCATGCGATATTGGCGATATTGATCAAAAGAAGCAGTGCCGCATTGATGCAAAATCCAGCTACACAATTTGAAAAAGGGAAAAAAATTGTTTGCCAAATAGAAACTTCTTTGCTTCCCCTTGCCAAATGTCTGGCAATAAACTATTGATCACCTTATTGTTAGTAATGTTTGGTGCCGATCTGTTGAAATGGTAGGAAATGAGGAATACAGCAAATGCGGAAATTAGTGTTTTTTTACCGAAATTGCAGGAGCAGAATGAGCCGTGATTCTGAACAAATATAAAGAACAAGGATGCGTATCATCTTTTGACTCTTCAAAGCCCATTTTTAAGCAACTCAAATTTTAAATGTTCTGCTGTCAAAGGAACGAGCTTCGTTTGCTTCAGTTCTTTTTAAATACAATGGGAGTTTTTTTTATAGGATGAATTGGCTTAAGCGAAGTATATGTAATATGCATTGAAGCAGCATTTCAAGCTCGAGCTCGCGAGCTTTTTCCCAACACAGAAAAAAAATCACTGAATCAATAATATGAAACACGAGATAATCAGAGCTATGCAGATGAGAGGAGCTAATCAAAAATCTGTTCATACTTAACGCTAGCTCCTTATGAGACGATAAATTCATTGTGCAAATGCCCTCTTCAGCAAAAACCAGAGCTGATTTCTTACGAAATTCTTTTACTCTAGTTAAGCACACATTCACGTAAACTAAACACATAGATTCATAAGTAGCATCGGTATTTTACTAAGCACATGACGGATGTACTAACACGGTGTAAGCAGTCACGCGTTTTATGGGATCTCTTTTAGCTCAAAATTTTCCAACATAAAGCATCGAAATCTTGTAGGAGCCGTTCTGAGCTTACTTTCAGATAATGAACATATGTTAGATTTCGCAAAAAATGCTTTTTCTTGCTTGCCTGAATGGACGCCTGCAATTCCTCTTCGTCGATAACATCTTCTAATACATCATACTCGTAGTCATACGACGAAGCGAACCCCTGAGAAGAACGCCGTTGTTAGTTTGGTTACGTAACCTCATACTTATGCATTTGTCGCACATTATTGATAGTTCCAAAACTTTTGAGACATGATTCTATCGTCTATCGCATGAAATCAATCCAGGAGATGTGTTGGTGTTGAACAGTTGCTTGTTGTTGCAAACGCTAGTGCATGTGAGCTTGTTAGTAAATTTTCAGGTAGTTAGTAACGTTAATTATCATTTTATGCGTGTTTTTGCGTGATAAGTGCATCAGCCATGCATTAGTACCACAAAATAGTATATTTCCTATATACATATCACTATAGAAAGATCACTAGATCATATCACTCTTCCTACATATCGTCATATTTTGGGAACCCTGAGTTAGAGAACCATTGTTGGCAACATCAGTGACAAACTTCAATAAGGTAGCCCTAATATAAAGACTATTTGAGAGCTTCGAATACGCTTCCATGTAAAGCAAATACCTCTTTGGTATTTCTAGACCACATTATATGGAAAAGGGACAAAGGCTTACCCAGTGTCCTAAAACCTTCGAAGTCTTTATTTATTCTCGCATTTGTTCCCTTATGGAAGATCTGCTTTTCTTGTCAGTTGTCTCCATGATCTTCTGTCTGAGGCAAGGTTTTCACTCATTCCAAGCTCTCGCAGGTCTGCCCTGATTCTGTTCATCCACCTCATTTTGGGTCTATCCCTAGGTCTTTTACCTGGTGCCTCCACGGCTAAGGCTAACCTCGTAATGTGGCTCTTTTCCCTTCTGCGCGCATGACCATCGTAGCCTTCTTTCCTGCATTTTCTAAGCAATTGGAGCTACTGTTACTCTCGCTCGGACAGTGTCATTGCGAATGTGTCTTTCAGTGTGACTCCCAAACTCCACCGCAACATCCTTTTTCCACAACACTGAGCTTACGCTCCTTGTTCCGCGTACAAGGTCAGCACTCACTGCTAAGTGCTGCTTGATGGATAACGGTCTGGTATAGTGGGGAATTGAGATGCACTGGCATTCCATCGCATAAAATTCTTGTCGAGGCTCTCCATTTCATCCACGCTATGTTCATCCTACCTGCGACCTCCGTAGATTTCCTTCCGCTGAAATATGGCTACCTAGGTACTTGCATGACGTTGTCTTCTAAAACTTTTCACCATTGATGGTACCTGGAGTTTGTTTCTCACTTCCTTGTATTCAGGCTTCCTTGTGTTGAGCTTCAAGCCATACAACTCTAGCCTGCTTTTTCAGTTTTGTACCTCGTCTTGCAACTCCCTTCTGGTGCTTACTATCAAGGCCACGTTGTCTGCGTAGAGAAGTGCCCAAGGATTTTCACATCTGAGTGTTTCCATCAAGACGTTCATACAGTGATGAGTAGCAAAAGAGAGAGAACTGATCCTTGGTGTAAAGCGACCTTGATTTGAAACTCTTTCGATTCCCCTGCAGCTGTTTGTACGTAACTCGAAGCGTTGTGGCAGATTAATTTTATCCACTAAACTTACTCTTCTGGCACCATGTGTCTTCGCAAAGCCCACTATATGACTTAATGAGACACCTTATCGAAGGCTTTCTCCAGTTCCAGGAAGGCTGCATGCAACTGCTTCTGCTTCTCTCTATATTTCTCCATCACTATCCAAGCGGAGTGGATGGCGTCAATTGTGCCCATCCCATTCCTTTCACCTTCTAGACCTGAGTTACAGTAAATATGAAGGCGATTCGCTAATGCACTTCAACAACCGTTTTTTCTCGACCTTTCAAGCCTTTCCATCTTTTTAGACTTTTTAATAATTTGCGGTAGCATCAGTGCTAGTACGAAGGCAGTACCAAAGTTTAAATTATTCAATGACGCGAGTTGGAAGTTTGCCGATGGTAATTCGAAAAATATTCAACAAAATCATACAATGAATTTTTATGTGTACATATGCATATCGAGAAGCCACAACCTCCACATATTTTGAACATGGAGAAAAATCCTTTTAAAGTGCATAGTTTTTTGACAAGTGTAAACTTATGTCACGACCTAATAGTAGAGAAGTGTCGAAGTACAAAAAGTGGGTAAGCCCATAAGAAACTAGACAAGTTATGACCGTAGCCCAAATCTCCGTTGAAATCGATAGAAGGCTATTGTTGAACAGGTAAAATGAAGCTTTTGAATGTTTGGCTGACTTATTCGTGTGTTTGAAAAAATTTGTAGAAATCTTTGAAATTGCACAGCCTTTCGTCAACAGCTTGTGTTTTTTATGATAAAATTTTTTTTGGAAATTTCAAGGGGAACCACTCGTGATATGCTGCACGGAATGTTGCTTGTACTTGCCCAAAACAAGAATGCCCAAAATAAAACAAGGTATCTAGTGAAATATTAGGTTGTCCCGAAAGTTTTGTCCGTTTTTTCAACCTATCATAAAAATACGTGGAACAAAGATAGGGAAACGCTCTAAGCATTACCCGACGCACCTTTTCCTCCTCTTTCTAACTGTCATGCTTCATGCCGATTACTCTTTTGCTCACTGAGATAAACGCCGAAATTTCGAACTCATGGTTTTTACTATGTCCAAGTTTGACAATTTTTCACAATCTTCATTTTCAACTTTTAGAAGACCTTTGATAGCCCTCAAATAGAGTAAGCAAAGGGCAATGCAATGCAATTATTTAGCATATCTAGCTGGCCTTTCAATATTATAATATTTGAAGATAATTTTTTCAAATGTCTTCACTTTTGCGAAGTTCTAAAATACAGAAACGCAATTTTTTCAAATGTCTTCACTTTTGCGAAGTTCTAAAATACAGAAACGCCTCGAACACTAACAAATCATCGGATTTTGAAGCTTTCAAAAACCGATTACGATTATTCATTATTTTTACGAAGCAAATGAGCGTTTACCGTTCGAAATATAAGATTTTGCACTTTACGTGTACAAACTGAGGTGGGGTCAAATTCAAAATTTATGAAAATTTTATCGCCAAAGACCCCGCAAACTGGGGAGAAAATACACTCACTGGAAAGAGGAGGAAAAGCTGCATCGAATAACACTTTAGTTGTACGCCGTTTCATGATCTCTGGCTTTTGGCATCACCAAAAGTGGAATTGATAGCATCAGAAAAATAATTCTAAAAAATTTTCAAGGCTGGCTATAGATGCCGCAAAATTGCATTATATTGCCCTTTGTTTGCTCTATCTAAGTGTTGCTAAAGCCTTTCCGAAAGTCAAAAATAAAGATTGTGAAAAATTGCCAAACTTGGACATAGTAAAAACCATGGGTTCGAAATTTCGGCGTTTATCTCAGTGAACAAAAGATTAATCGGCATGGAAGCATGACAGTTAGAAAGAGAAGGAAAAGATGCGTCGGATAGTGCTTTGAGCGTTCCCCTATTTTCGTTCCACGTTATGATAGGCTGAAAAAACGGACAAAACTTTCGGGACAACCTAATATCTAATCCAGCCACTCACTGAAGAAGAAATCTCACCAATGCAAATATGGTATGCGGTCATAAGAAAAATTGAGTTACCTTGAAAAGGTCAAACCGTTGCTCAGCGGTGAGATTAAAAAAGCAGTCCGTACGAACGTTAGAGCTCATTGCAGACCGCAGATGTCGTAGTGACTCGATTCAGACACTCGATCTTTCTGAAGCAATCACCTTCCTCGTAAACATTCAATTCTAGGAGATAACAGCTAATAAGAAATAGCGGATAAATGGGAGAAGAGATTTTGCGAGAAACTGAATTGCTATGCCGACGAAGAACATTAGATGAAGAAACGTCTGAGTTGAGAATGCCAGAAAAGCTTTCATTTTGATGTGAGGAGGGAGAAGCTTGCTTACGAGATTCACCTTTGGTAAAAACATTAGCTTACAGCGAAATAGGGATTTCATTAACTCGGATAGAATAATTGTATATAAATAACGAGCAAAGCCTATTCCACACAACAATGGGCGTTCGGAGAGGGCAAACTAAGGGATAATTGAAAAGCGACTTTTTTTAGTGAAAAACACTACCGTAAAAAGATAATGTGCTAGCTATGTGAAGGCACTTATACTAGTGAGATATTGCATAGGGTGTATACTGCCGTGTATATCTAAAGTTCGTGAGGCTTCCATAAAAGATCATTCGTACTTTACACAGAGTTCCTAAGCCCAAAGCAATGAAATAAGCAGATATTTGACGTATGCCTCGAAAGTTGCTGTCTACTTTAAGTACATATGGGAAATACGTTTATTTTTAGGTTTTTCGGCAACATGGGCGCTTAATTCTAAAAGAAATTGAAATAAACAAGAATTTGCTCCAAATATTGTTACATCTACAAGATGTCCCAAAAAAATGCCTGCTGTTTGATTGTTGATATCTCTTGTCATGAAAGCTGGCTTTAACTTAGGTTTCCAGCGTGGAGCAAAGCACCGGTCTTTCTTCATTACTGTAATATTACGATAGGAACTTGCAGCATATGACGGAACTGTGAGATAGCTCGCTCGAAAAAGAATTTCTCAAAAAATCTGAAAATTTGCGTAGCAAGGTTTTCGTGCATGCTGATTCACTACATAACCTTTCGCGCTTCGCAGAGTTTTTTGAATGGGATAATCAAATTTTCGACAGATATCAGATATCCGTCGTTTCGTTATATTATGGCATAATTTGTGAAAAAAGCATTACGGTAAAGTGCAAGTTCCATACTTGGAACCAGCGACCCTGATTAACCTAGTGTACGAGTTTCAGCTTTTTTAGTCCTTTTTTAGAGGTAAAATTGACTTCCATGACGCAAAACCCTCTTCGAAGTCTCTACCGTAATGTTACAGTAATGAAGAGAGAACAATAATTCGCCACCATACTGCAACTCCAAGTTAGAGCCAGCTCTAAAGATGGCACCCAAAGCTTCTCGAAAGACAGACAAGAGAGAATCATTAACAATCAAACAGTAGGCACATTTTTTGGGACACTTATATATCAGCAGCAGCGGCGGTCCGAGAAATTTTTTTCGGGGGGGGGGGCGCGACAAAAATTTTTTTTCTAAAGAAGGTGCGTGGCGTCCCCCGAAAAAAATTTTTTTATAAGGCTAAAATGAATTTTTAAAAAATTTAAAAAATTATTTTAATTATTTTCAAGTGCAAACAAGTCGTTTGCACATTTTTACAATCCATATAGGTAAGTTTCAAAAATTTCGCGACCCATTCTCGGGGGGGGGGGGGCGCGCCCCCCCCCCCCGCCCCCCTCGGTCCGCCACTGATCAGCAGGTATTTTCATTTTATTATTGTGTAGCTCAAGTACACTTTCAAAAAAATTTTCCTTGACATTAATAGACGCTACATCTACATTGGACCAAAAGAAAGCTTTGAAGTGTTTGCTTTTTCTCGTCAATTTCATGCCAAAAGTTCTCCATTAACAAGCCAGCGTAACGCTGTTGTAGTGTTTTTTTGGACCCCTTCAACATTCTACAAATCTTCAACCACTCTCAGAGTCATAAACACTAATAATTTTCAGGTTGTTAATATGATGAAAATTTGATGAAATGCTGCTCCTCAAATTAGAACATGACAAATTTATGATTCAGCCCGAATTTACCGTACCAGAAGATGCGCTTTGCAAATGAGGCTTTCCGCTTGCAGTAAAATGGCCCATTAGTCCCACTTCGCCTCATTTATCTTCGTACGTGTACTGACGCCTACGCAAATGCATATTTCAAATGTCGTATTCTCTGTGCACTTAAATGGCAGTGAATTTGTTGAACTGTGGAGTTCAGTAAATTTTTTTTAGCTAAAGGGAATACGAATAATTGCATGAGGAAAACGTAAAGTGAAAAAATGAACACAACGTAATTTACTCATTTCTCTCATTCACCCAAAAACATAAAATGTGATCCTAGATGGCAGGATTGTGCTCTGAGCTTCTTGCACCTTGACATTCTTAAATATCTTTATTGTCACGCTCAGCCAAAGATATGGTAAAATCCAGCTGGACGATGTGATCAATGAAGAATTAAAGAAAAGTCTCTTAAAACGGAGTGATTAGTACTGAGCTCGGCTTTGCTCCATGTCAAGGAGTCAATTGTAACCTTGAAATGTAAATGTGAGATAACTTAGACAGTCAAGAGTACGGTTTAGAAACTGCTTTCTGGAAGAAAGTGGAAACATGCGAAAATTCTTAAACATCATATCGGCGGGAAAAGAGTCGAGGAGATTGATGACATGTGGAATTCCAACCACGCGTGAATTGTCAGCCTGACATCTTCAAATTTGGTTAACGCTGATCGGTGATGCCGAAAAAGGGTTTTCTACACTGTAAAAGTGTTCAAATATTGTAGTTCTGCAAGTTGGTCCGCCTTGCGTTTTCCGAAATAGGAATACAGGAATTTAAGACAGTTATATGACAAAACATTGCAGTGCTTCTGAGAAAAAAAATGCTTCAATAGCAGAACCCGCACAAAGGTTTCATTATAATTTTTTGATGATCGCTTTCGCAAAGCGACAGTAATATCGTTTTCATAGTTTAGAAATACAGTGTTTATGAGATGAGCTGCTAGGTTATTCACACTTTTGGTAGCAGAAAAATCAAAGAGCACTTGGTTACAAGTCAGAGATCCCTTTACGCACCAGCGCACATCTCAACATACAATGCCTACAAAGGGAAGGTGAGGCAAGGTCAGCGTTCGAAAATCGAAGTCAATGTCGATCGCTACCCTGGCTAAAACAGTGCGAGAACTTTTTTGGCTTAAGAATGGAATCTTGATAAACATTTAATCGCGAGTTTTTATTAGAGTAAAAAATTCATAGCAAGCCATCTCACCCTGACCAACGATGAAGATATTCTTCTATTGTTTTCTATAAGATCAGCAGTGGCTCAAAAATACGGAAAGGATTTCATTTCCGGAAATAGCGGATAGAGAAGCCTTTGAAGGCATTGCTCAAACAAAAAAGTCAATTTTGAAGGTCTGGCCTATAAACTTGAAGTTGCAATGAAACGGTGACACAACAACAACGTCAAATATCAACCAGCTATCCTTTCGTTTTATCTGAGTGAAAGAAAGCGAGATAAAATTTTTTTGAGGAGGGTCTTAGACATTAAAAAGGTTTTAATGTCTTCGCAGGACACATGTTGCTTTAAGAAAGTGCACAAAGAAAAAATTTCCCCCTCAATCATATTAATGCTTTAGCGAGGTATGTAGTATGTATAATACCATTTCATTTGTTTCGTGAACTTTTCCGAACTCAGATTCATGTTTTGAAGCCAACATGTGAACTATTGTCTTTGTCGCGCTACTGTAGCCGCGCTACAGTAGCGCGAAAAAGAAATAGTTCTTATGTAGTGACATCATCTCTCGAAAAATCGCATTAGGAGCAATTAAATGGGAAGGAACAATGATTTTTGCTCGTCTGAGGAATGCCGACCAGTCCATAAAATTTCTTGCCAATGTGCACACCGAACCACATAAGGAAGATGCGATAGTTGTAAATATGAAGATTTATGTAGTCTTGGAAAAGAAGTAGAGTAATGATGGCAAAAAAGGTTTTACAAAGCTGTAAATTTTGTTTCCTGTTCCCTTCTTTACGGATGTCATTTTATGTTCATGGCAACTTTCATATAGCCATATTTCATGGTTTGATAGAGTGTGGGAAAAAAGGAAAAAGGCATATGTGATTTGAACTCTGATGAGAAGCGATAGTTCTGAAGAAAGTGAACATAATGGCTCAAAGTTTTGCTTGGAATTCAAATCACCGACTTATCTCACCACGAATGATGAATGTTCACGCGATGCAAAAATAGGAATAATTTCATATCCATGAACTGCAAAGGCAAAATTTTGCAGAACTGTCCTCAGGGAAAGGCATCAACAAGATTCCAGACAGAGACTGCCATTAGTATTGTTATTCTTATAACGGTCGACAGTCCATTAAGATGTTCATTCAGCCATAAAATCATGCAAATTCGGAAGCACGAGGAGTTGTGACGGTGTATAGCAGACGTCTTTTTCCATAATTTATGCTCGCGTCAATTGATGTAAGTACTTTATAGCACACTAGTTGACTTATCCGGCTCCGCCCGGCCCTGTCATTATTATATTCGTAATCGGCATGCTCGATTACCCCCCTGTGCCAACTACCAGCCCGTAATTCAAATTTTGCAAAAAATCGATGAAATCGATGCCGATCGATGACGAAAAGTAGCCTATGACACCCGCCGGGGCCCGAAGGGTATGTGTGCCAAGTTTAGTCCGGATCGGTTCAGAAATGGAACTTTCTATTCGGAACATACGTACAGACATACAGACAGACATACAGACAGACAGACAGACAAACAGACATTCAGCTTTATATATAAGAAGAAACCAAAATCGCCAAATTGTGTGTATTAAACTGCAGATCAACACGCTTGTGACGCTCATTGCAGCAGGATTCTGGTTTTAGAGTTTGATTGATATGGACGGCTTTCTGACTTGACACAGAGGAAGCGGAAGAATATGTGGTGCGAAGCCTAACAGGCCAAATTGTGCATGTTCTTTTAGGCTTGTATAAAATTAGAAGGGGTATGAGAAACTTAACTGAGGAAAGTTTTCAAGAGTAACCTAACCAGCTTCGTCCTTAAAACAACCTTAAAGAAAGAAGCACAAGATCTTTTTGCCTAACTCTATCAATACACT